CGGATAAGGCATCGGTCTCCTAAACCGGGGATTGCGGGTTCGAATCCCGCCTAGGGTATTCTGAGCTCCCTTTAAAGAAATTTTACGACGCGGACGAAACATATCTTCAAATACATGCAATTGCCACCTTTACCTTTGATATAAAAAATATGCCTTACATTGGATTAAAATTCCTCAACCACTCGAAGCCCTCGTGGCCTAACGGATAAGGCATCGGTCTCCTAAACCGGGGATTGCGGGTTCGAATCCCGCCGAGAGTATTCAAAGCTCCTTTTAAAGAAATTTTGCGACGAGGACGAAACATATCTTCAGACACATGCAAGTGCAGCCTTTTACATTAATGAAAAAAATATGCCTTACTTTGGATTAAAATACCTCTAAAACTGGAAGCCCTTGTGGTTAAACGGCTAAGGCATCGGTCTCCTAAACCGGGGATTGCGGGTTCGAATCCCGCCGAGGGTATTCAGATCTCGTTTTAAAGAAATTTTACGACGTGGTCGAAACATATCTTCAAATACATGCAAGTGCAGCCTTTTACTTTGATATAAAAAAATATGCCTTACATTGGATTAAAATACCTCAATAACTCGAAGCCCTCGTTTCCTAACGGATAAGGCATCGGTCTCCTAAACCGGGGATTGCGGGTACGAATCCCACCGAGGGTATTCTGAGCTCCTTTTAAAGAAATTTTACGACGCGGACGAAACATATCTTCAAATACATGCAAGTGCAGCCTTTTACTTTGATGAAAAAAATATTCCTTACTTTCCATTCCATTACCTCAATCACTTAACGCCCTCGTGGCCTATCGGATAAGGCATCGGTCTCCTAAATCGGGGATTGCGGGTTCGAATCCCGCCGAGAGTAGTCAGAGCTCCTTTTAAAGATATTTTACGACGCTGACGAAACATATCTTCAAACACATGCAAGTGCAGCCTTTTACTTTGATGGAAAAAAATATGCCTTTCTTTGGATTACATTACCTAAACAACTGGACCCCCTGGTGTCCTGACGGATAAGGCATCGGTCTCCTAAACCGGGGATTGCGGGTTCGAATCCCGGCGAGGGTATTCTGATCTCGTTTTAAAGAAATTTTGCGACGCGGACGAAACATATCTTCAAATACATGCAAGTGCCACCTTTTACTTTGATGAAAAAATATGCGTTACTTTGGATTAAAATACCTCAACAACACGAAGCCCTCTTGGCCCAACAGATAAGGCATCGGTCTCCTAAACCGGGGATTGCGGGTTTGAATCCCGCGGAAGGTATTCTGATCTCGTTTTAAAGAAATTTTACAACGCGGAAGAAACATATCTTCAAATACATGCAAGTGCAGTCTTTTACTTTGATATAAAAAATATGCGTTACTTTGGATTAAAATACCTCAACAACGCGAAGCCCTCTAGACAACAGATAAGGCATCGGTCTCCTAAACCGGGGATTGCGGGTTCGAATCCCGCCGAGGGTATACTGCGCTCTTTTTAAAGAAATTTTGCGACGCGGACGAAACATATCTTCAAATACATGCAAGTGCCACCTTTTACTTTGATATAAAAAATATGCCTTACTTTGGATTAAAATACCTCAATAACTCGAAACCCTAGTGGTCTAAAGGATAAGGCATCGGTCTCCTAAACCATGGATTGCTGGTTGGAGTCCCGGCGAGGGAATGCTGTTGTTATTTTAGAGAAATTTTATGGCTCTGAAGAAACATATAATCTAATACATGCAAATGCAGCCTTTTACTTTAATGAAAAAATATGCCTTAATTTGGATTTCAGTACCTGAAGAGCTCGAAGCCCTCGTTGTCTGACGGATAAGGCATCGGTCTCCTAAAGCGGGGACTGATTGTTAGAGTCCCGCAGCGAGTAGGCTAAGCTCATTTTAAGGAATTTTTACTTCAAGGAGCAAATATATGAACAAATACATGCAAGTGCAGAGTTTTACTCTGATGACAAAAAATATGCCTTAATTAGCTGATTATTTTGTTAATTTTAGCTGCTTATATCGTTTTCAGTTTAATGTTTTGGTTTCCTTGGTTTTGTTGAGCATTCACCTTTTAGGAATCCCAATTGTATCCTTTGTTTCTATCCTTATTATTTTTAAAACTCGATCATTTTTTACTGGTGTTTTTATTATTGTTTGACTGACGTGGTCTTTTGTGGATTTGTTTTCTTGACTGTTGAGGGACCGTTGGGTCTTTTTTTAATGCCCCTTTTGTAAGATTTTTAATGATACCTTGCATTTTTTTTATTTTACTTAATTCTTTATTTTTACTTCTTTTTGCTGGTGTACTGCACTGAACTTTTACTCTTGTTTTACTCATTTGGATACACTCTGGGGACTCTGTTTTTTGAATATGTTTAATGTTGGCTCCATATCTGGTGATTAAAATGAAACAAAATTAAATAAATTTATGTTTCTCTTTAAGTGTACTATTGATTGGTGACGTATTTTTGGGTTTTTTTCTTTTCTTTTTTGTATGTGTGTTTTGTTTTACTTAATTTACTTCTGTTGCTGCCTCTTTTATTACAGTGTTTGTAACGTTATGTGCTGTGTTTGTGATGCTTTTTGTGTGTCGAGTCATTTTGACTCTTTGTATTTCTTTTGTATTTCCCCACCGGTCTGCTAAACGCCTTACACCATTTCGTGTAGGCTGCACCGGTGTGGGTTTTGAATAAAAAAAATCTGAAGAATTATTTTCGATTTATGAACTTGAATTTGATATAAACGTCGTTTAGTAAGGTTTGACTTTACTTAAATGTTAATGGTAATTAATGGTTGACTTGATATGAACGTCACCTACCAATGCTTTTTTCAGGTGGTAAAGATGAAGTTTCCATCAGTAGACTTAACTCAAAACTTTAACCTTGCCTGGCAGTTCACTCAATATGTCAAATGCTATTTTTTAAATTTTAAGGCATTATAGAGGTTTCGGCAAAGCCAACGACACTAAAATCATCCACCAAGGTCACCCAACGAGACTAAAGAGTGGTGCAAAAAAAATGTCTGTAGAATTTTTTGAATGAAATCTCGACAATTTCAGACTCACAATGCCTCATATGTTTACCAAATAACTTGTTTCTTCGGATGATACATATTACTATACGTATTTAGTTGCATCTAGATGTAAATCGGAAATAAGAGTGTAATTCAGCATCTTTAAAAGAGACTAAATTTCGAAAATTTAAATTGTATGCTTTAGGTTGTGCGTTCCTAAGTTCGATAGCATTAAGAATAATTTATAACATTCATAAAAAGTCAAGAGAAGTCAAAATAGCTTATTACTCGACTCTTTATCGGAGATAAAAATGAATGAGATATTTTAAATTCTAAATGCAGTATAATATAGACACACATAAAAATCATGTAGGGATGCAAAATGTGATTAAGTTTTACTAAGTGTAACCTAATTTAAGGTATTTTGATATCTAATCTAACCATTATAACAATCTTCTCTAATTTATTTTTGCGATCTAATCTATTGGAATGCTGTCTTATCTAATGGAATGCTATCTAATCGAACCTATTTTTACAATCTAATCTGATTTATACAGTCTAACATAAACATACTTAAAATTCATCAGGAATGCAAATGATAACTACAGGTTTCTTTCATTATAGTAGGACTTCTTAAGCAAAGAATCTTACCCCAAAATGAGGTCGGTTACATGAACTGCGGGGACTCTAAAACATAGAAAGCAAGCGCTTCTGTCAGAATCTTCAACATAATGTGGAAATAAGAAAAAGGTTATAATAAAAGTTTATAAAGACACACATTTATTGCTGTAATAAAATGTAAAATTTTTTAAAAATTATTTTCTTCGTTTTAGTTTTAATTCGTAATTTATTGTTGTAAATATTATCGATTCCTGACAGCAATTTTTCTCTCAAATTCACTAACAGGTGGTGACACTCGTATGGAATCAATATTTAATTAAATTGATCTAAAAACTGATAATTAAGTTTAGAAAATATTGAAATAATGGATTTTCATCGAGAACACACATTATACAAAATTTCAGAACTCTATCAATTTCCACATTCTATTAAGAACTACATCAGGAAAGGAGTGAAAAATCGTTTGCGAAATTCTATAGTTACAATCATGAAACAATTCATATTAAATAAAAGTGTGCAAAAATACAGTGCCCTGGGAAAAGGACTAAAAAAATAATAGTTTATACTGAGATAGCTACATATGAATAGTTATAAATTTCAATTGAATTCAAGAGGGAACAGATTAAAATTCTATTATTAAAGGGGCATACGACTCTTAAACCTCGAAAAATTGGGGGGGACTGCCAAATTCGATACATTATTTCTCTGAAACCATCAATTCACAAACTCAATTTTTTTTCTTGTATATTACACACATTTTCAAACCTTTATATTAGTATGTATTTATTTGAGGGAGTAATAAATATGGGTATAATTTTTGGAGAAAAAAATGAGATAATCACTTTGCGCGCATGATTACGAATAAAATATTGGTATAAACACAATATTTTGGCTATCTAAGTAATCCAAACAGTCTGAACCACAATTTATTAACATTTAAATTCAATTTCTGTTTTATATACCAATTTAATATAAAATGTTAAAATTTCAACTTTTCTAACCCTCCAAACACTTGTTTGGAGAAAATATGTACAAAAATTGTGGTTCAATTTGTAGAACGTAGCACAATACATATTCAGTAAGAGTTTTATGAAAAAATATTCAATGGTTCTTGAGGTATCGTGCGCGCAATAACAAAAGACACATTTTGAGAGTTAGCGCTTTAAAGATATGGCCATATGCAATGTTTACGTTGTAGAGCTGATACATTTTCCTTAATAAATTTCATAATTATAAAATTTTTTATCGCGGATTGTTTTAAATTGTTCAGAAAAGGCAGAGAAATAATATATATATTTTTTTTTTCATAAAATCGAAAATTTTCGAGCTTTAGCAGTCTCGTGTCCCCTTAAAAATACTAATATTACTAAAATAGATTAATTTTAAAATAATCGTGGATGTTAATATCTCGACCGAAGTTAGCCAAAATCCTTTATAAACGAATTTTACGTTTCATTTAATTTAATTCGTCTCTCTCACTTGTCAATAAGACCGTAGTGATCTGGTGTTACAGAGTCTGCTTCAGGACTAACAGGTCGCTTGTTCGATACAAAGATTCGACCAAAGAACCGCTGTATACCTGGGTCTGGTGTACGATAAATCCTGTAGAATTAAACGATCCTCATTTGTGTGGTACGGAATTTTAGAGAGGGGCGTGGCGATTAAGATGTCATCCTCGTGTGGTGTTGTTTATTTTAATTAATGTTAATTTTCGGCAAATAATTCCCTTATTTTGTGTTAAGACACTTAAAAATTTTCTTTATTGTAATTCTTTGTCTAAATTACGCGAAATGTTTTTCTTTCTTATGCACTTGTTGAACTCTGGACAGCTAGCTTCTTTTTTAACTTTATACAACCTCCTTTAGAATACGACCTTTTCTTTCCTCTTTTACCGTATAGACTCCCCCTTTCCCTTGAGAAACGCACGTGCATGTTGAATCGCTATAATTGCTTTTTGAACCCCCGTTAAGCTTGAAATTAAAAATTGTTTCTTGAGTCCTCCGCTCCTTTGTAGAAAAGGATCCGAATCTCCCACTTTACTACTGAGGTCAATTTCACTTCCTGCCATTTTGACTCCTTGACAATAAGCTTGTAACGGACCACCCAATTTTACTGTCCTGACGCGACAAATTGTCTGTTTTCACACAAAGACCTTTTTTCGAACCCTGATAGTGATTAATTACCCTTTGGACGGGTCAGGGCAATACCTACCCTTTTTCTGAGAATCCTCGACCTCCAATCAGGATAGAGTCCTAGCTTTCCAATTGGCTATCTGCAAGTCTCCGGGGCGTGCACAAGGGGTTGCTGGTCTGGTTGGCGAGTTTCTGAGGACTGTTTGGCGTCTTGGCGCAACTAAATTAATTTTGGTTTCTATGCCTTGCCAATGGAAAAAGTTTGACCTTTGGCCCAGAAAGAGCGAGGAAGGAATGGCTTGGTACGGCATCTTATTTTGGTATAAGAAGAGGAGATGACAAGTGGAGAGGACTGGACATTCTTTTCGAAGCAACATTTTTTAGAGGGAGGAAATGGCAACATCTAAAGGAAGAAAAGCGGGCTTTTGATATCGTAAGGCGGCCATAGCTGACGAGGTGATTACGAGCAAGGGAGAAACTTTGAAAGTGCGTGCTTGAAGGAGATGATGCGCTAA